CTGCTGTTCTTGGGGTGTTGTGAAAATGGCTGTTTTCACTGACATAGCTTCTTGAACTGACAACAGTTTTTATTGGCAAATGCATTTTCTCCTGTTAAACAACATATGGTGAGTTGTGTATCATGGTGAAAGGAGAAGGAAATTAAGAACAAAGGGTAATTTGAATTTACTGTGTTTTGTATTTTGAAGAGAAATCTTATGCCTGAGATGAGCAGTTTCTACCATCACATGGGAAATGGATTTGAATTTGAAACAGGTAGCAAAGGTGTTGAATCTGACTTTGGGCTATTACAATGGGGTTCCAGCATCAACTATCACCTCTAAAACAGCCTACTTGCTGATTAATGCCAAAAGGTAAAACTGGGGCAAGGAGAAATTCAAAGTTGAGAAGAATCAGCTATAATGCCAATACTGTAGAAAGTGTGTGTGTATATATATCAATATTGATGACAGTGGTTTATTTGGGGTTCATACCCTTACTTGGGGCAAGATCTTCCCCCTCCCATAGTAAAACCCAGGGAAGAGGATAAAGATGGAGGGAAGTTCTGAGAGATTGTCTTAGTGTTCCTTTGGACTGTACTGTTGGAGGAGTGTCATTTATCTGCAGAGAACAAGCTGTAGCTGCAAACCTAATATCCACGTGGCCCTGAGGAGAAATCCATAAATTAACTTCCTGCCAACTACCAGGGCCTTCTGTGGGTTTGGATTACCCCAGGGTCATTTAATAGGGTGGGACTCTGTGGAGTTGTTTCCTGATGTTGAAGAGCAGGACAGCTCCAGGGTATTACCTTACTGAAGTAATTTCAGTAGGGCCAATGGGGAGACAATGTGTGCATCTTCTATACCATCAGCCCCATGTAGATCCTGACCCCAGAGACAGCCTTCCATGGGGTCCCAGGAAAGGGTTATGGTGTCATGTAGATGGTTGACCACCTCCCACCCCCAAGGAAGAGAGGTGAAATCTGTACTATGAAGAACCCTTCTGTGGATTGGGGAGGGAGAGGAATGTTGTGATCTGACCCTCAATTTTTATTTAGTTTTCACTTAGTTCCCACAATAATTTACCATGAAGTTTCTTGGGAGTTAGAGCCACTGAATTCAGTGGGAGTTTTCCTGAGCAGATCTCTGGATTTGGCCTTTTATAAGTAGATTTTAGGAGGAAAATGAGGGTTTTTTTGAGACATTATCTATCATCTGTTGCATATAATAATTCAAATCATAACCGTTGTTCTGATACCTATTCCTAATTTTGTTGTGTTCTGCTCAATTAAATTTTCCAGTTCACTTGTTAATCATGCATGACTAAGGAAAAATGACACTGTGTTTTGTTGAAGCTTTATATAGCTAGCACCTCAAATTCCATAAGTGCCTACTTTCCTTGGTTCATTTGGGGAATGGGGATGGAGAGGAAAAGGGTACAGATTTTGGCCATCTTTTTTATTTTATTATCTGTTTTTTAAAAATAGGCATTGGCTGCACTTCTACTTTTTACCCTCAGGAAGGGGGAAAGACAATGTTTTACAATTATATTTTCATCAGTAATTTGTCTTCTCTTTGATTCATGGAAATTTAAAAATATTGCCACCTAAGCTTTCTTGAGACACTTCAATTTCTGTTCCTGATGCTGCTGATTAGTGAACAATACGTTATTTTCTTTGGTCAGTCTGCTTTTTACCTTTGAGACATATTTTGTATTTTACAGCATAGTATTTGTAGCTGGATATTGTATAATAATAACAATAGATTGATGCCTAGATTCAGGCTTCTTAATTACAGTTATAAACTATTGTTAGTGTAAGTGCTGCTATTTATTCTTTTCTTACTGGTCTTTCTTGCTGTATTACAGAAGATGCAATTCTGCAGTCCAGAGCAGGATAAAAACTTCAGTTGAATTCAAGGGGAGTTTCAGGGCCTTATTACAGAATAATGCCTTGTCTTTAAAATGAAACATTCCCCCACTTGGCTACCATTTATCAGTTCAGACAAGACAGAAAATATTGATAATTTTGTTCCTTTTTTTCTTCTTCTTCAAATTTGAGGCCAAATCCTGAAGTCCTTAGGCAAAACTCCCTTTTATCAGGCCTATACTCAAGCAATATAAGTTGTTCAGCACTATTTCCCAAAATGAAAACAGATTGCAAAACCATAATAAATGTTGCAAAAATATGACAGAACTAATAATTTCCATGAAATCACATCTCCTCCAATTTCACTGTAATAGTTTGGGAAAGCATAAATGACAGATTTTGACCCTTATGTAGGTAAAAGCTAATAAATGCTGTTAAAGGTGACATTTGAAAAATAAGAAAAAATACTGTTAAAATGCTGATAATTCCAAGCTTGATCTTTTGGATGATTTTATAAACCCAGATCTGTTGCAGTACACACAGGGACAGTAATGTTAAACTGCTTCAGATTAAAAAACAGCATGAATATTAGTAAAAAGAACAGGAGTACTTGTGGCACCTTAGAGAGTCTCTAAGGTGCCACAAATACTCCTGTTCTTTTTGCGGATACAGACTAACACGGCTGCTACTCTGAAACCTATGAATATTAGTGGTGGTCAGTTTATTCAGCTAAAACAGGATAAAATTAATTTCAAATTATTGACTCTGCCCTTTGCTATGGTGACTAGATAGTAAGTGTTAAAAATAAGGACACTTTTTTTTCAGGGGTGAGATGGGTGGGAATACTTGCATACATAAGACAAAGCCCCTAATATCGGGACGATCCCGATATTGTCAGGACGTCTAGTCATGGTAGCTCTTGCTCCCAGTGAATTCAAGGTGAGTTTTTCCATTAACTTCAGTGAGAGCAGGATTAAAGCTTTAATGGAGTACAACATAAGGATCAGAAAATATTCTTAGACTGAATTACTCATGGCGGTATTGTTTGTTTTTTTCTAATACTGCTCTACTATATTTTCAACTTACTGATCTCCAAATCGATTCTCACATTTGAGAAGATTTTTAACATGCAGTTAGCCTGCTCATTAGATTAAGAGGCTTTTTTAATTTTAAACTCTGTTAATAAAATGTCATTTTAGTAATTAGTTTTGAAAACCATTTGACCTTAACCAGAATGAATGTAGACTGTAAAAATCATCACAGATTCCCTTCCTTGAACTTTTCACAATGCTGAAAAATGACTGAGGGAAATAAGGAAGATCCAGTTACTGTACCTTGTTTGTACAGCTGTACTTCATTGAGTGAAGGCTTGTGTTACACACAGTTTGTGATAGGAAGTAAATGCTTTTAAAACAACTAAGATGACAGGTTTTTAACCTCCACCTTTTTAGATTCTGTGTTCACTCATTTAGCTTCTGTCGAGGTCTTGGGAAGCATTTCAAATACAAATTATTACACAGTATTGAAGCTCACCTGAATAATTAATCTCCTAGTGAGCTCATTAAGGCAGCATGCGTTAAGATGTCTCCCCCCCCACCCCAAGATGACAAATGTTAGATAGTGCACACTTGTTACTTCAGGAGAAGAGACATTTAAGGAATAAAGGTTTCTCAGATTGAGTGTTAAATATTTTTTGTGATAGGTAGTTTAAATTATAGTTTCAAGACAGCTATCATAAGGATTTTCAAAGGCTTAGAGGACAGTCAGAAATGATGAAGTTGCCTCATAAATTACTAACTTGTCACAGTTCATTAGATACAGAAATTCTAATTTCTAGCGTACAGGCACTTTGTTATTTCTCTAGTCCCTTGAAATGATGAAGACACCTTGAGATTCATTAAGGTGTTTGATTTGGCATCCGTTTACTTTACAACTATGTGTTAATCATCAGTCCTGAACCATTTGACATAGTTTTGGCACTAGATAATTTCAAGGCATTTGAATACACATCTGTAAGATCATTCTTGTGGATGGGATCTGAATATCTGCCAAAGGCAGTTTCCTAATTGTTCCGGTGAAACATTGCCATTAGTGGGGAGGGTTTAACTGGCTGTCAGCCAATCAGTTTTCAAATTCTGTATCAACTGAGACTTTATGTAAATTTCACCCCTTGAAACATATGTGACCTTTAATTTAGTTGCAAGCTGAAAAGGCACCTTATGTGGCTACATTAACCACCCACTTTCTCATTATAGTGTAATTAAGACCTTCCTCGCAGCCTCTGATGGCCATGAAAGATTTTGGCTTTCCTTTCTGCTTGATAACCTCCCACTTAAGACTGTCCAAACATCTTTAGATTTTCAAAGTTTCATAGCAACAAGGCCACCCAGAGTGGTACTTAAAGAAAAAAATGCCTTGGTAAACAGTTAGTGTTTCTCTGTATTGCTCTGAAACATGCAGCAAATCAAAAGTGTCATGCCTTTGGGGCGTGTGACCTACACCAGCCTCGCCCAAACCTCACCATAAAACAGTGCCCCAGTCACTATATTTGGACTGAATCCAAAGTTCCCAGACAGTAATACCTGAATGCTTTGTTTTTCCATTTCTTGTTATTAGGCAGACAATGGTCATGTCCTTGTGGTGTGAGTTTCCAGGTGGGCTTGAAGACTGAAGTGTCCCAGAAAGTTACTATTTAAATTTTTTCTTTATTCATCAAGCACTAAAACATTTTCAGTATCCAAGTCTGAAGGAAACCTGAAGGATGGTACTTGAATGCACACCAAATTCTGGTCCCCTTGAAATCAATGACAAAATTCCTGGTGGAAGTATAATTTAACCAAGGCTGCCTTCCCCTAACCCTTCATCTCACATTTTCTTAAAGCCTTCTACTTTCTTTTGTAACCCCATTCTTCTCTCCCTCAGCAAGTAAATTACACCCACTTGTGTCCACTTACCAATGTTTAATCTATGCCATTCTCTTCATCATCTCTAAATTCAGCTCTGAAGGTTAGTTTTTATTACCTGCCATATTATGATAAAATAGCAAAGTGTAAATTTTGGAATCATTTGCTTTAAGGTTAAAAAAAAGTAATGGGAGACGAATGCGGCTTTGTTCTTTCTTTCATGCCTCATTAGAAATTGTGTGTTTTGCAGAGGTTAATATATTGTGGGCAGCACACCAAGTACATCATAGTTCTGAAGCTTATAACTTATCCACAGCACTGAGACAATCTGTACTGCAGAGATACGCTTCTTGGGTAAGTTATGCAAAATGCAATAATATAATTGAACTTTATTAAAAATCACTGCTATATAAAATCGCAGGTATTTAATTTTGTCTGAAGGAAAACAAAATATAAGTCAAGAAAATGTTAGACACAGAAAAGCACAGTGCAGAAAGGTAATTTGAGGCATCCTGAGAATTATGTGAATCGAAAATAGGTACACTTACACTCTTATTGGGATGTGTGAAAAGAAGAAATAAAGTCAACTTTGAGAAGGCCAATTATAGTCCCAGGCTTTCACACAATCATAACTTTCTAAACATAATGCAACATATTCTTCTTCATAATGCCAGCATAGACACAGAGTAACACAGTGAAGATAATGGAGTTACTCTGGGGTAAATGAAGGCATGGGGAAAGCCGACAAGTACGGAGAAGCACGTGGTTCGGACAGAGACATCCCTTAGGGGAGGATCTACTAATGGAGATTCTCTATGTCTGAGTAAGGAGGAGAATATGGGAGATAAAATACAGGTAGGATCTGATGAGAAACAGTCAAATGAAAAAAAGTCTCATTCAATTACATCATGTAATGGGAGACCACTAAAAAGTGACAAGTTTTTAAAGTGCTTATATACCAATGTTAGAAGTCTAAATAATAAGATGGGTGAACTACAGTGCCTCGTATAAATGAGGATATTGATATAATAGGAATCACAGAAACTTGGTGGGATGAGGGTAATCAATGGTACACAAGAATACTAGGGTACAAAATATAATGGAAGGACAGAACAGGTCATGCTGGTGGGGGAGTGGCACTATATGTGAAAGAAAGCATATAATCAAATGAAGTAAAAATCTTAAATGAACCAAACTGTACCATAGAATCTCTATGGATAGTAATTCCATGCTCGAATAATAAGAATATAGCAGTAGGAATATATTACCGACCACCTGACCAGGATGGTGATAGTGACTGTGAAATGCTCAGGGAGATTAGAGAGGCTATTAAAATAAAAACTCAATAATAATGGGGGATTTCAACTATCCCCATATTGACTGGGTACATATCACCTCAGGACGGGATGTAGATACAAAGTTTCTTGGCACCTTAAATGACTGCTTCTTGAGGCAGCTAGTCCTGGAACCCACAAGAGGAGAGGCAATTCTTGATTTAGTTCTAAGTGGAGCACAGGATCAGGTCCAAGAGGTGAATATAGCTGGACCGCTTGATAATAGTGACCATAATATAAATAAATTTAACATTGCTGTGGCGGGGAAAACACCACAGCAGCCCAACACTGTAGCATTGGAATGGCTGCCGTACCAGGAGAGATTAATAAGACTTGGACTTTTCAGTTTGGAAAAGAGACGACTAAGGGGGGGATATGATAGAGGTCTGTAAAATCATGACTGGTGTGGAGAAAGTAAATAAGGAAGTGTTATTTGTAGCTTCTCATAACATAAGAACTAGGAGTCACCAAATGAAATTAATAGGCAGCAGGTTTAAAACTAACAAAAGGAAGTATTTCTTCACACAACACACAGTCATCCTGTGATCCCTTGATGATTACCTGTTCTGTTCATTCCCTCTGGGGCACCTGACATTGGCCACCGTCGGAAGACATGATACTGGGCTAGATGAATCTTCGGTCTGACCCAGTATGGCTGTTGTTATGTTCTTATGTTCTTAACTGAGACCAGTGGGAGAATTACCTGTGAAATGACTGGATGGGATGCCCGTATGTGTATTCGTTTCTCTCCATTGGCTACTCTTACCCAAATGCTGTTGGTAAGCGTTACCTTAGTGTCTGTATTACTCCGTAAAGTGATTAAAGGAAATTGCAATTTTTGAAGGATGATCACTGTGCCTGTCAAATATCAATTGCTAAGAGAGCTCACCTATGGATTTTGTGAATGAATTTCCTAGACTCAAAGAAATGTAGGACTTGGAGGGAACTTGATAGGTCATCTGGTCCAGTCCCCTGCAGTGAGGCAATTACCTCCCTAGGTAATTTGTTCCAGTGTTTAACTACCCTTACAGTTAGGAAGTTTTTCCTAATGTCTAACCTAAATCTCCCTGGCTGCAATTTAAGCCCATTACTTCTTGTCCTGTCCTCAGTGGTTAAGGATCAGTAATTTATCACCCTCCTCTTTGTCACAACCATTTATGTACTTGAAGACTATTATCCTGTCCCCCCTCAGTCTTCTCTTCTCCAGACTAAACAAACCCTTTTTTTCCCAGTCTTTCCTTGTAGGTCATGTGTTCTAGACCTTTAATCTTTTTTGTTGCTCTCCTCTGGACTTTCTCCAGTTCGTTCACATCTTTCCTGAAGTGTGGTGCCCAGAACTGGACATACTACTTCGGTTGAGGTCTTATCTGTGCTGAGTAGAGTGGAAGAATTACTTCTCATGTCTTCCTTACAATACCCCTGCTAATATGTCCCAGATGATGATTGCTTTTTTTGCAACAGTGTTACATTTTTGATCATATTTAGTTTGTGATCCACTATAACCCCCAGATGCTTTTCTGTAGTACTGCTTCCTATGCAGTCATTTCCCATTCTGTGTTTGTGCAATTGATTATTCCTTCCTAAGTGTAGCACTTTGCATTTGTCCTTATTGAATTTCATCCTATATATTTCAGACTCTTTCTCTAGTTTGTCCAGATCATTTTGAATTCTAATCCTGTCCTCCATAGTGCTTGCTCTCCCAGCTTTATAAGTGAAATCTATATGCCATTATATAAATCATTTATGAAGATATTGAATAGAACCGAACCCAGAATAGATCCCTGCAGGACACCACATTTCCTTACAACTCCATTGTGAACTATCGATAACTACTCTCTGGGTATGGTTTTCCAGCCAGTTGTGCATCCACCTTATAGTAGATTCCTCTAGGCTATATTTCCCTGGCTGTTTATGAGAAGGTCATGTGAGACGGAATCAAAAGCCTTACTAAAGTCAAGATATATCACATCTACTGCTTTCTCTCTGTCCACAAGCCTTGTTATCCTGTCAAAGAAGGATATTAGGTTGGTTTGACATGGTTTGTTCTTAACAAATCCATGTTGCCTGTTACTTACCACCTTATTATCAGCTAGGTGCTTACAAATTGATTGATTATTTGCTCCATTATCTTTACGGGTACTGATGTTAAGCTGACTGGTCTATAGTTCCCTGGGTTGTCCTTATTCCCCTTTTTATAGATAGGTGCTATGTTTGCCCTTTTTCTAGTCCTCTGGTATTTCTCCCACCCTCCACAAGTTCTCGAAGATAATCGCTAATGGCTCAGAGATCTCTTCAGCCAGCTGCTTAAGTATTCTAGGATCTACCATTTACAGTGATGTTCACTTTGTTAGTCATCCAATCACTGCTAACTTTTTTGGTGAAAACTGAAACAAAAAAGGCATTTAACACTTTGGCTATTGCTGCATTTTTCTGTTATAGTCTTTCCGTCCTCATCGAGTAATGGGCCTACCCTGTCCATGGTCTTCCTCTTGCTTCTTGTATATTTGTAAAATGTTTTTTTGTTACCCTTTATATCCCTAGCTTTTTGTGCCTTGTCCTTTATAATTTTGTACCTACACGCGTGTGTGTTTTTTATATTCATCCTTTGTAATTTGACCTAGTTTCCACTTTTTGTATGACTCTTATTTCTACAAGTCACAATTTTAATATATTTTGTTGTGTCCCAGAGCTGGGCCCAAAGTAATTATTGCCTCTCACACTTATCCTCCAAGGTTCTTCCATTACCCAATATTTTTTATTTGAAATACATAATCATTTCTCTAAAAGTTATAAATTTTAAACATAAAAGATAAGAAAGCCATAAAAAATTGCTTACTTAAATGTTTAATTTTTATAATTATTTTTAAAAAAGAGTGTACTCAGTGTCTTCAGAAATTGAAAAGTTTGTTTCTTAAACTACATGTTTTTAAGGAAAAATCACAAGACATTTAGATACAATATCTATATATCGGTGAAGGCTTTTTATTTCTAGAGCCAGTCAGAAAGTGGAAATTCTGTCTAGGAAATTCTGACATTTTGATATTTCTTTTCCTTCTGGACTGGAGTGAAAAGTCTAAATTTTTATAGAGTGGAAATTTGGAAAAATTATATTGTATTGCAGCATTTTTATATACACATAAAGAAAATCACTGCATTGTGAACTAGATTTCACAGGTTGGCAAAACATGGATACACACACACACACACACACACACACACACACACACAGAGTATTAAAACAAACAAAAATGTCAAGTATACAGAGTACATTCATAGACATAAATACAGATTCCCATAATATACAGAGGAAAAGGAATGTAAAATATTCTACTACAGTTAGATGTAGAACAAATCCACAGCTCTTTGTTGAGTCAGCATCTGACCTGTGAGTTAATTACTTCTGGCCATTAACTTCAATGATGTTAGTCTGGATCTACACTGCTGTAATTGAGACCAAATCTGGCCTTTTGTTAATAATAAACCTTCCAAACATATTAAATTCAGATAAATCAATGGAATGCATTTCCACAACTTGATCAGGTCTTCTGGACACTCTTGTATTGGCACCACTTCATAGTTTTGTTTATTATAGGCACCCATTCTCGTTCTTTAATTGTCATGGTGTTGATTCATAAAGTACCCCTCACAGTCTTGTAAGAGGGCACAAGATTTAGATGGACATAATGCACATTGGTACAAGTGACATTTTTTTGTGAGGAGTCCCTCTTCCATGCAAATACTGCCATGTTAAAGATTTAAGCTTCTATATGCTTGTTCACCCATGTGGACGCTGTTTTCTAAAAAGATAGGGGAGAGAAGAAAAGGACAGGTGTGAACACTTTGTTCTGGCTGCATAAGCATGTTATATCCAAACAGTTACTGTGGAAAGCCATAATGATGATAAGGGGAGGCTAGGGGGTTTGTAAGAGGACAATAATGCTTGCAAGCACTCGGTAGACCAGTGGTGGGCAACTTGCGGCACGTCAGGGCAAGCCACTGCCGGGCTGCCAGACCGTTTGTTTACATTTGCACGGCCGTCCGCAGCTCCCAGTGGCCACGGTTCACCATTCCCGGCCAATGGGAGCTGTGGGAAGCAGTGCGGGCCTATAAACAAACGGTCTGGCAACCCGCCAGCGGCTTGCCCTGATGTGCCGTGTGTGGCCCGTAGGCCGCAGGTTGCCCACCACTGGTGAAGACAGTCCTAAGGTTGATGCTAATACCAGCTTTCAAACCAAATTACAAGGTATATTAGCCTGGAGCCATGGGAAACCAAGCTAAGAAATAATTATACTAGCTTGCCTTCTTTTACATAAACACATAACAACAGGTATATTTATATTAAAAAACAAAACAAAAAACCCTACACCCTACAAAAACAAGACACTCCGCTACTATGCAGGCTTCTCCCTCTGGGAGAGGATGGGAGAACAAATAATAAGTGACAAATGCATTGTCAAGTTGCTTAATGCACTACTGGCACCAGATACCATGGTGATACACATGATATAAAAAGCTATAAAGACTAGAATAGAACTAGTTAACATCATGGTGTGCATTGCTCTTTCACATCTGAGAAAGACAAATAGAAATTTAATGTTTGTCCTGTAGGTGGAATTGTCTAGATTGTGTAAAAGCAAGGGTGAAAATTATCTCTTTCTGAAGCATAGTCATCACTTGAGCACAAGTTTTGTAAATATCCATGCTCCAGGAACCCCATGCTAATTCTTAAAGAACTACCATTTTCTGAACTGCCTGCATGACGAAGAATCGTGTGTGTGTATGTGTATGTGTTTGCCTTTTAACCTAATCTAGTGAAGAGTTATTGTCAATCTCTGAGTGATATCTGATGTCTCTGAGCATATGCAGTTGAAGGCAGTTTGACATCTCATTTTGTTGAAGCATATGAAGAGGCGTGTGAGAATGTTGTGGTGGATAATGTGGGATTGTGGGACTGTTCTGCTGCCAGCTCTGTATGTGTTTTAAGTTAAACATTATATGATAAATCTGTATATTAATCTGGGTTGAGAGTGTTGTGTGGGTTGTGTGCAGGCTGATTGAAAAGATATGAAGGGAAAGAGAGGAGAAAGACATACTTTAAGTGCAAGCAGTGGTGTGAAACATATTCTTGAACTTTGAATCAAATGCCTATAACTTTGTAATGTGTGTAGGAAACATTTATGTTAGTCCAGTGGGTTCGAAGTAAAGCAGCAGATCTCTTCTTAGGCTGAGAGGATGGTCTTGAGGCTTGCCCTGAGAAGAAGACTTGGAAAAATGGTCTAGGGCCTCTGGCAGAAGCACAGATTTTAGGAACAAAATCCTCTGTTTCTTCTGTATGGGAGGAGTTTTCACCCATCCCCACATGAAGTAAACAGTTCAAAGAAATCAATGAAAGAGAGTTCTCTAGCATTTTCAACCAAGCCAGGTTGAGACCCTTTTTCATGAAGCAAATTCACTGTCCTTTTACTTCCTCAGTGGAAGGTGCTAGGTTGACTCCTCTGTCCCCCAAAATATACTCAAACAAGCCTGTGATGTACACTATAGGGTTCTCCACCTCTCCCTCCCTCTACTTTTCTCTTTCTGTTAGTTTCTTTCTGAAGTCTTCAAACCCTTTATTTGCATTAATTTCAGACTAGTGATAGGAGACCCACTGTGAATGAGACAATACTCAATTAACATGTAAGCAGTTAAATGGCTAAACATCTTTTCTGACAGAAAACCTGTTTTTCACCTTTCCTGGTGACTAGTACCTTGACAGAGACTTTAAGAACATATTTTCAGTATATACACATAATTCCTTACACAAAATCTGTACATGCGTTTCACAGTTATTTTTATGATGAGTGTGACACTGGCTTTCATATGAGATCTCACGTGACACTCTTTGATGAATTAGAATGTACATATCAGACTCAGGACTAACTCCTCTGCACCCCCTGTCAGTTAGCATTAAGAGATTCTTACGTCACAGATATGCTCTAGGAATTAGTTCAGGGAAGTTCTATGGTGTTATTCAGGATGTTAAACTAGATGATCACAATGGTCCCTTTTGATTTTGGAATCTATGCATAGGGAGCCTTTCTGTCTTGCCACCAAAAGTCTCTCACCTATGCACTTATCCATTCCCCAATTTTTTCTGAGATACATCTCCTGGATTTTATTTTGTCTAGAAAAACTTCTCTCCCTAGGGAGGATTGATTACTCCATGTGGCTGTTGTTTCATACTATGTCAAGTGAAAAAAACAGTGAGGTAAACCCTATTTGGAAGGAAGGAAGACTATGAGCATTTTTTGGGTGTGAGGGTCCCAGAGTTGTCATTTGATGACATTATTTAAAGAGCCATTTGAACACCTAATTGTGAAAACTAACATGAGATTATTCTCCATGTATGACAGTAGAATCTTTCCAAGGTAGGCAAGTTAAGCTCATGGCAGTATGACAAAGAGTGTGGGATATTTAAAATCAGCAAATACTAAAAACATGACAGCTGTTTTAGTTATAGCACATCTTTATCATCGTTAGAGTCAGGAATATATAGTACTTAATGTCAAATAAATGCTTATAGGAGTATTGTCTAGTGATCATACTGCCACTTGCTTGTTGTATGACCTTTGAGAAGTCATTTATGTAAAGTTTTTGTGTCTCACTTTACTACTGTTAATAGTAATATAATAGTAATCATTACTATCTATTATTTTTCTATAATGTATATCACACAGAGGCGTTGTAAGGTTCAATTAATGTTTGTAAAGTCCTTTGAGATCTCAGATGATATCGAATTTAAAGTATTTACAACATATGAAAAATTTTGAATCATAAACATATGTATATTTTCTCTCTCATATTTCAGGTTTTCTACTTGCCTATGGCTCTTTTTATTCCTCCATCAGTATATGCTGTTCATCTCCAGTTTAATCTCCTTTACCAGTTTTGGATACATACAGAGGTAAATCAGGTTTTTAAGCCATACCTAAACAGTTTGCCTGGAGCAGTGTCCTGGAAATCCACTAGCAGCTGATTTATTGTGTAAGAAAAATATTTGTCTGACTTCTTTAAGGAGAAACATCTGTTCATTTTTATTTCTTTTTCAGAATATATATTGCAAAGTTTATAAGAAGCAATGAGGCCAGTTGGTCCCAATTAGATTTAAAAAAAAAAAATAACTGTAAAGAATCAAAACTTTTTACTATTTTAATATTATATTTTCCTATCTCACAGCTTATTAAATATTTCTGGCTGATATTGAAACTGATTTGTTTTCTAAGGTACATATTTCAGTAAAAACAGTTAGAAAAACAGTACTGCTTAAATATTTAATTTTGATTTGAAGTCAGATACTGCCTTTCTCAGATCGCATCTAAATTCTCAAATAAAAACACATTCTGCGATTGTCTGATCACCATATTTGTGTGAGTGCACTTGCATGTATAAACACATGCGCATGTTCGTGTGAACTATAGCTATGTTCTACATACTTAGAAAAGCAATAACCTACTATAATTAGTAAGTAGATTCCCACACTTCTCAGGTAGTTGAAAGGGTCTTGGCTTTAAGCCTTCTCCATCACACTACACCCTAGATGCCTATGGCTATCCTATGTCACATATAAGTAGCACACTGCCCTGTTGAGCTATTGATTGTCTCTGCCATCACTAACTTCACTTCTTTGGTTATGCTGCCTTTTGTTGTGCCGTTGTCACTCAGCTTTGGCAATGTTTCACGATCATGTGTAGGAGTAACATTAGACTATGTTTACTTGAAGTGCATGAGATGGGTCACTGGGAAGTTGTTGCTGTTACATTGTCAGTGAAAGAATATGATATACTACTTCCCTGCTGATGGCCGCCATCACTTCTGTGTGGCAGAAGCATTCTGTGAAGTGCCAGCATTCCATAGAACTGTATTAGTCACATGGCTCAGTACCTGTGCTGCATTTTGTTTCTTAAGTACTTAAAATGAAATTGAGAGGTCTGTGCATCACTTAAGTCCCACTAAGCCCTTAACCCCTTAATAGGATTTAAGAGGGATGTATATGGTGCATTGGCCTTGTGTTGGCGCTCTGCACAGGAGTGAATTTCACTCTTAATTAATAATTAGACCCCTTATTAGTAGATTATTGAGACACTAGAAAATTTAGTTAATCCTTTGGAATGGTCACAGTTCTTTGTTTAAATACTTGGATTTGTTTAATATATATATTATTGATACTATTAATAATAACAATAATTAATAATAATTCATAACTTGTATTACATTTAGTATCAGCTTTGTTCACAGCCCTGTTATGCTAGGCAATAGACAAACACAGTCCCTGGCCTGAAGACCTTAACAGACAAGACAGAAAAAGGGAGGGGAAAATGCAGTAACCAATGGACTATTGTCTCCTTCATTTATAACTATGATGATATTGTTAAGATGTTGCTGTAATTGCTGTGAACACGCACTATGGGCATGATCCTGCAAGGTGCTATTTCTGTGAGGCTTGGAGTGCTCTGAATTCTTCCTGACATTGGCCAGAGCTGAGGGAGCTCTATATGTCTACACTTGTCTGTGCTAGAGAACTTTGGTCTTGCAAAACCCTTATGATGCCAGTTACACCCACAGAATTACTACCAAACATGCAGAGGTTCAGCCATTGTTGGTACTGCACTGAGCAAAGCTAAACATGGTGTCAGACACTGTTGTGTCAGTGCACCATTGCAGTGCTAGTTTAGAGAACAAGGACAAAGGTGGCAGCTGAAACATTTCAGCTGGTTCTCCCGTTGCTATATTATAATGCTGTGCCTGTCTCTGGTTCCTTGTGAAGAAACAAAAAGAGAAAAGTATTTTGTGTATTTTGAAAAACAAGAAACTTCATAGGAAAAACATTTAACAAACCATCCCCCCAAATAGAGAACAGTTTGCTCTCTTTCTCAAGCACTGACACCCACATGTGTCAGTGCTCATGGTAATCTGTTCCTGGGTGCCAGGACTACATTTGATTGGAGGAAGAGGATTGACCTAGGAAGCCTCTGCAGAGATAATATGAAGGTGTGACAGCCACCTTTGTGTCTGACAAACTGGGGATTGAACCAGGGATCTCCAGAGCTGAAAGCATGAGCTGCTATGGCTTGAACTAAAAGTCCAAGGCTCTCCAGGTCAGAGCAGATTTGTATCCTCTGAGGATCAGGCATGGAGTGGGGGGATCTGAAACACACACACAGCAGTGGGTTACAAAGGCAGAGTACTTGGGGCTACATGCACATATCTTCAACCAGAGCAGACACAATTGGAAGCAATATTGGATTATGCCAATGGGGCTGGCAGCCAATTATAAACAATTAGGAAGGAAATTATAGCCAATAATTTGTTAAACTATTTGTATTTTACCTGCTATATTGAATTATGTGACAACTGTTATAATAGACTTAACTAGTGATAAAATATTAACTATTAGAGCTGGTTTATTTTTACATTTTTGATTTTTTTTATATTTTATACATAATTTTCATGAATCTTCATGAAAAATTGTTGTTATTTTACCCATTCTAACTATCTTACATAGAATATAATTATATGAGAAGATTTATTATATAGTATGAATTTAGGACCCGATACTGCAATAAGAACTCTATGAACAAACAGATGTGTCCTTGCAGAGCCCCATCTCATGGTTTTGCATCTGAATGCAGAGCCTAATGAGAGTACAGGCCTCTCATTACAAAGTCAGGGCCTAATATTGTTGCCAGCTATAATTCTATAAAGCACCTGCTGCAAGTAGCCATACTGGGAACTGTGGGATAAGTAATCCCCATGCAATTCTTCTGGAGTGGTTGGAAGGAGTCTGGTGGGTAGTCACATGTACACATAAAACTACAGGGCTAGTGTACTCTTAATACACCATTGCTGTTCCACCAGTGCAAATTGTAACATTTCAATTTTCCAATGTAGAGCACATCCCTATCAAGTAGGGTGACCAGACAGCAAATGTGAAAAATCGGGACGGGGGTGGGGAGTAATAGGTGCCTATATAAGAAAAAGACCCCAAAATCGGGACTGTCCCTATAAAAACAGGACAACTGGTCACCCTACTATCAAGTCCAAAGTTTGCTTTTAGAGACATTACACATAAATGTCTGCAAAGGCAGGATTAGGTCCTAAGTAGAAACGCACAAAAATACTATGAAATCTTAATGTTAAAATTCTTGTTCATACATATTAGCTGTTTCTCCTTAAGAAAAACAAAATATGTCCAATCTGTTGATACTGTTTTGTTCCACAACATTGAAAGATTAGTTTAGGTTATGCACTAAATATTAGTACAGGTTGTGCACTAAAGACAAACAATTTCATCTTTAGTCAAAAAACAAAACTGAAATGATTTTTGAGTAATAGGAGAGAGGAAGGAAACTGACTTCTGATGGGAGGTTTTTTTATAACTTACAAAGAATTAAATGTCTATTTTCAAATTCAGTAATTAAAAAAAAAAATAGAGAAGAGATCCTTCTGCACTGAGACTTTGTATGCCACGTTTCAGTCTGGAGCAAATGTTTATAGCTGAAGGACAAACTCCAACGCTTCCCCAAACTTGAACTTAGTGATTCCATTATTACATCACCTGATAAATGAGGTTGCTGTCAACATCATAACTTTCAACTTTCTCCTTATCTGTAGTACTAGTTTCTGTCCAGCTTTCCCACCAGAAGAGCAAACAGGATCTATTTTATTTTAAATCACGCAGATCATGTATTTCTGTGAAAACAACATATAAAGTCCCGAGGGTTAAAAGTGTCCACTCTTTGCATCCCAATTGGACTAGCTCAGCCCCCCGATTTCCTGTCCATAATCCTCCAACCTAGTAGGTAGGCACTTACATTTGGCCTTTTATGTAAAATACCTACAGTTTTTTAAGCATTATAAATCTGAAGACTATACTAAACTGTTCAGCTAGTTACAATAAAAAAACAAACCCTCGTACCAAAATCATAATGGGCTGTTACAATGAATAAAGGATTCTTGCTGTTTATAAAGAAAGGGTGCAGGTGTTACAGTGACAGAAATGGAGGTAATTTTATTCAGATGTTGCTCTGTGACAGATGTGAACTATATATTTATATTCAATTGTGTACTTCCATTACAAGAATCTCTTTTCAGAGGGTTATCTCTATTGTAAGGTTAAATCACATATGCATGCTTGTCTGAAATGCTATCAGAAAGTCCCTAAAGAAGCCCTTTGTAAATAGATAGATGGCACTCACATTCCTAGGATTCTGAAATAAATCTCATAATAGTGCGTTTAAACCAGTATTCATTAACAGATGTTAAAGACAAATGCTGAAAGAATGAAAATACATTTTTGTAATGTTGCATAAGAATAGGTAAAATGAGTCAAGAAAAAAGAGGGCCCAATCTAGCTCCATTTAAGTCAATGGAGAAATTATTCAGTAGGATTAAGATTCATTCCTTAATGAGTTGGTAGAAATGCCTATCCAATTAAACCATTCTCTCCTGAAATGAAGAGAGTAAAATGAAATTACCTTGGTCCAAAAGCATTAAAATATAACTTTTCAATAGCCATAAAATGTTTGTCCAGCTACTAAGAGACAGAAATACTTTATTTCAGTTTATTTTCACAGGTGATTCAGAAGGTTCACATTAAACCATATCCTTCCATTATGCCTTTAATTGAGCCAATAAATTAGTCCTGTTTATAACCTGACTGTGGAATGCAGAAGCTAGTTTCTGTGGGTTTAGCTGTAACTCCATGGATGTCAAATGGTATTTGGAAAGCAGCAACTGAACTAATCCCTGTTAATAGTAATTGTGGTGACACATTATGCTTTGCCTGTTTGATCTTTGACTTGCATTAGTTTCTGCTTAATTTGCTAATTTGGGGAAAGATTGTGAGTTGCTCCACACAGCCTAGCATGGAAGTAAAATTGCCGAAGGCGTCTCTTAGTCCTCTGT